AAACGAGCGATAGAATTTCAAACAAAAGCATTTGGACCTGACCATGTTAATATTGCGAAAACGTACAATAATCTGGTTTCGGTTTACAATAATATGGGATGGTACGGAAAAAAAAATTTTATAAACAAGCGATAGAATTTCAAAGAAAAGCATTTGGACCTGACCATGTTAATATTGCGATAACGTACAGCTATCTGGGTTCGGTTTACAATAATATGATACAGTACGAAAAAGCAAAAGATTTTTTCGAACGAGTGATGAAAACTGAAACAAAAACATTTGGAACTGACCATGTTAATATTGCGATAACGTACACCTATCTGGGTTTGGTTTACAAAGATATGGGAGAGCACAAAAAAGCGAAAGATTTTTATGAACGAGCTATGAAAATTGAAACAAAAGTTTTGGATTTTACCTTTTAAATATTGCAACAACGTACAACAATGTGTGTTTAGTTTACAATAATATTGGAGAGTACGAAAAAGCAAATATTTTTATGAACGAGCGATGAAATTTGAAACAAAAATTTTTGGACATTACCTTTTAAATATTGCCACAACGTACAACAATGTGGGTTTTGTGTACAAAGATATTGGAGAGTACGAAAAATCAAATATTTTTATGAACGAGCGATAGAAATTTAAACAAAAGCAATTGGACCAGACCATGTCAATACTGCGGCAACGTACAATACCCTTGGTTCGGTTTACAATAACATGAGAGAGTACGAAAAAGCAAAAGATTTTTATGAACGAGCGATAGAAATTCAAACAAAAGCATTTGGACCTGACCGTGTTAATACTGCGGCAACGTACAATACCCTGGGTTTGTTTTACGATAATATGGGAGAGTATAAAAAAGCAAAAGATTTTTATGAACGACCGATAAAAATTCGAACAAAAGCATTTGGACATGACCATGTTAATATTGCAAAAACGTACAACAATCTGGTTTTGGTTTACAATAATATGGGATAGTACGGAAAAAAATTTTTATAAACGAGCGATAGAATTTCAAACAAAAGCATTTGGACATGACCATGTTAATATTGCGAAAACGTACAACAATCTGGTTTTGGTTTACAATAATATGGGATAGTACGGAAAAAATTTTTTTATAAACGAGCGATAGAATTTCAAACAAAAGCATTTGGACCTGACCATGTTAATATTGCGATAACGTACAGCTATCTCGGTTTGGTTTACAAAGTTATGGGAGAGTACGAAAAAGCGAAAGATTTTAATGAACGAGCGATGAAAATTGAAATAAAAACTTTTGGACCTTACCTTTTAAATATTGCCACAACGTACAACAATGTGGGTTTTGTTTACAAAGATATTTGAGTGTACGAAAAAGCAAATATTTTTATAAACGAGCTATAGAAATTTAAAAAAAAGCATTTAGACCTGAACATGTTAATATTGCAAAAACGTACAACAATCTGGTTTTAGTTTACAATAATATGGGAGAGTACGAAAAAGCAATAGATTTTTATGAACGAGCGATAGAATTTCAAACAAAAGCATTTGGATCTAACCATGTTAATATTGCGTTTACGTACAGCTATATGGGTTTGGTTTACAAAGATATGGGAGAGTACGAAAAAGCGAAAGATTTTTATGAACGAGCGATGAAAATTTAAATGAAAACAATTGGACCTTACCAAGTTAATATTGTGACAATGTACAACAGTGTGGGTTTTGTTTACAAAGTTGTTGGAGAGTACGAAAAAGCAAAATTTTTTTATGAACAAGCGATAGAAATTCAAACAAAAGCATTTAAACATGACCATGTTACTTTGCGATAACGTACAGCTATCTGGGTTTGGTTTACAAAGATATGGGAGAGTATGAAAAGGCAAAAGATTTTTATGAACAAGCGATAGAAATTCAAAAAAAAGCAATTGGACCTGACCATGTTAATATTGCGTCAAAGTACAACAATCTGGGTTTGGTTTACTATGATATGGGAGAGTAGGAAAAAGCAAAGGGTTTTTATGAACGAGCGATAGAAATTCAAACAAAAGCATTTAGACCTGACCATGTTAGTATTGCGATAACGTACAGCTATCTCGGTTTGGTTCACAAAGATATGGGAGAGTACGAAAAAGCGAAAGATTTTTGTGAACGAGCGATGAAAATTGAAACAAAACTTTTGGACCTTACTTTTTAAATATTGCCACAACGTACAACAATGTGGGTTTTGTGTACAAAGATATTGGCGAGTACGAAAAAGAAAATATTTTTATGAAGGAGCCGTAAAAATTCGAACAAAAGCATTTGGACCTGACCATGTTAATATTGCGATAACGTACAGCTATTTGGGTTTGGTTTACAAAGATATGGGATAGTACGAAAAAGCGAAAAATTTTATGAACAAGCGATTGAAAGTCAAACAAAAGCAAGTGGACCTGAACATGTTAATATTGCGATAACGTACAACAATCTAAGTTTAGCTTACTATGATATGGAGAGTAATAAAAAGCAAAAGATTTTTATGAACGAGCGATAGAAATTAAAACTAAAGCATTTGGACTTGACCATGTTAGTATTGCGACAACGTACAACAATGTGGGTTTTGTTTACAAAGATATGGGATAGTACGAAAAAGCAAAAGATTTTTATGAACGAAGGATAGAAATTCAAACAAAAGCAATTGGACCTGACCATGTTAATACTGCCGCAACGTACATTACCCTTGATTCGGTTTACAATAACATGGGAGAATACGAAAAACAAAAGATTTTTATGAACGAGCGATAGAATTTTAAACAAAAGCATTTGGACCTGACCATGTTAATACTGCGGCAACGTACAATACCCTGGGTTTGGTTTACGATAATATAGGAGAGTATAAAAAAGCAAAAGATTTTTATGAACAACCGATAGAAATTCGAACAAAAGCATTTGAACATGACCATGTTAATATTGCAAAAACGTACAATAATCTGGTTTCGGTTTACAATAATATGGGATAGTACGAAAAAGCAAAAGATTTTTATGAACGAGCGATGAAAATTGAAACAAAAATTTTTGGACATTACCTTTTAAATATTGCCACAACGTACAACAATGTGGGTTTTGTGTACAAAGATATTGGAGAGTACGAATAAGCAAATATTTTTATGAACGAGCGATGAAACTTGAAATAAAAATTTTTGGACATTACCTTTTAAATATTGCCACAACGTACAACAATGTGTGTTTTGTTTACAAAGATATTGGAGAGTACGAAAAAGCAAATATTTTTATGAACGAGCGATAAAAATTCAAACAAAAGCATTTGGACCTGACCATGTTAATATTGCGAAAACGTACAACAATCTGGGTTTAGTTTACAATAATATGGGAGAGTACGAAAAAGCAAAAGATTTTTAGGAACGAGCGATAGAATTTCAAACAAAAGCATTTGGACCTGACCATGTTAATATTGCGATTACGTACAGCTATATGGGTTTGGTTTACAAAGATATGGGAGAGTACAAAAAAGCGAAAGATTTTTATGAACGAGCGATGAAAATTTAAATGAAAACAATTGACCTTACCAAGTTAATATTGTGACAATGTACAACAGTGTGGGTTTTGTTTACAAAGTTGTTGGAGAGTACGAAAAAGCAAAATTTTTTTATGAACAAGCTATAGAAATTCAAACAAAAGCATTTGAATATGACCATGTTACTTTGCGATAAATTACAGCTATTTGGGTTTGGTTTACAAAGATATGGGAGAGTATGAAAAGGCAAAAGATTTTTATGAACGAGCGATAGAAATTCAAACAAAAGCATTTGGACCTGACCATGTTAATATTGCGTTAAAGTACAACAATCTGGGTTTGGTTTACTATGATATGGGAGAGCACGAAAAAGCGAAAGATTTTTATGAACGAGCGATGAAAATTGAAACAAAACTTTTGGACTTTACCTTTTAAATATTGCAACAACGTACGAAAATGTGTGTTTTGTGTACAAAGATATTGGAGAGTACGAAAAGCAAATATTTTTATGAATGAGCGATAAAAATTCAAACAAAAGCATTTGGTCCTGACCATGTTAATATTGCGATAACGTACAGCTATCTGGGTTTGGTTTACAAAGATATGGGAGAGTATGAAAAAGCAAAAGATTTTTATGAACGAGCGATGAAACTTGAAACAAAAATTTTTGGACATTACCTTTTAAATATTGCCACAACGTACAACAATGAGGGTTTTGTGTACAAAGATATTGGAGAGTACGAAAAATCAAATATTTTTATGAACGAGCGATAGAAATTTAAACAAAAGCAATTGGACCAGACCATGTTAATCCTGCGGCAACGTACATTACCCTTGGTTCGGTTTACAATAACATGAGAGAGTACGAAAAAGCAAACGATTTTTATGAACGAGCGATAGAAATTCAAACAAAAGCATTTGGACCTGACCATGTTAATATTGCGATAACGTACAGCTATTTGGGTTTGGTTTACAAAGATATGGGATAGTACGAAAAAGCGAAAGCTATAATTGAACGAGCGATGAAACTTGAAACAAAAACTTTTGGACCTTACCTTTTAAATATTGCCACAACGTACAACAATGTGGGTTTTGTGTACAAAGATATTGGAGAATACGAAAAATCAAATATTTTTATGAACGAGCGATAGAAATTCAAAGAAAAGCATTTGGACCTAACCATGTTAATATTGCGAAAACGTACAACAATCTGGGTTTGGTTTACAATAGTATGGGAGAGTACGAAAAAGCAAAAGATTTTTATGAACGAGCGATAGAAATACAAACAAAAGCATTTGGACCTGACCATGCTAATATTGCGGCAACGTACATTACCCTAGGTTCGGTTTACGATAATATGAGAGAGTATAAAAAAGCAAAAGATTTTTATGAACGAGCGATAAAAATTCAAACAAAAGCATTTGGACCTGACCATGTTAATATTGCAATAACGTAAAGCTATCTGGGTTCGGTTTACAATAATATGATACAGTACAAAAAAGCAAAAGATTTTTATGAACGAGCGATGAAAACTGAAACAAAAACATTTGGAACTGACCATGTTAATTTTGCGGTAACGTACAGCTATCTGGGTTTGGTTTACAAAGATATGGGAGAGGACGAAAAAGCGAAAGATTTTTATGAACGAGCGATGAAAATTGAAACAAAAACTTTTGGACTTTACATTTTAAATATTGCAACAACGTACAACAATGTGTGTTTTGTTTACAAAGATATTGGAGAGTACGAAAAAGCAAAAGATTCTTATGAACGAGCCTTAAAAATTCAAACAAAAGCATTTGGACCTGACTATGCTAATATTGTGATAAAGTACAACAATCTGGGTTTGTTTTACGATAATATAGGAGATTACGAAAAAACAAAAGATTTTTATGAACGAGCAATGAAAATTAAAACAAAAACTATTGGACCTTACCTTTTAAATATTGCCATAACGTACAACAATGTGGGTTTTGTGTTTAAAGATTTTGGAGAGTACAAAAAAGCAAATATTTTAATGAATGAGCGATAGAATTTCAAACAAAAGCATTTGGACCTGACCATGTTAAATCTGCAAAAACGTACATTACCCTGGTTTCGGTTTACAATAATATGGGAGAGTACGAAAAAGCAAAATATATTTATGAACGAGCGATAGAAATTCAAACAAAAGCATTTGGACCTGACCATGTTAATAGTGGGGCAACGCACATTACCCTGGGTTCGGTTTACGATAATAAGGAGAGTAAAAAAAAGCAAAAGATTTTTATAAACGACCGATAGAAATTCAAACAAAAGCATTTAAACATGACCACGTTTTTATTGCGAAAACGTACAACAATCTGGGTTTGGTTTACAATAATATGGGAGAGTACGAAAAGCAAAAGATTTTTATGAACGAGCGATGAAAATTGAAACAAAACTTTTGGACCTTACTTTTTAAATATTGCCACAACGTACAACAATGTGGGTTTTGTGTACAAAGATATTGGAGAGTACTAAAAAGCTAATATTTTTATGAACGAGCCGTAAAAATTCAAACAAAAGCATTTGGACCTGACCATGTTAATATTGTGATAACGTACAGCTATTTGGGTTTGGTTTACAAAGATATGGGATAGTACGAAAAAGCGAAAGATATAATTGAACGAGCAATGAAACTTGAAACAAAAACTTTTGGACCTTACCTTTTAAATATTGCCACAACGTACAACAATGTGGGTTTTGTGTACAAAGATATTGGAGAGTACGAAAAATCAAATATTTTTATGAACGAGCGATAGAAATTCAAAGAAAAGCATTTGGACCTAACCATGTTAATATTACGAAAACGTGCAACAATCTGGGTTTGGTTTACAATATTATGGGAGAGTACGAAAAAGCAAAAGATTTTTATGAACGAGCGATAGAAATACAAACAAAAGCATTTGGACCTGACCATGCTAATATTGCGTTAAAATACAACAATCTGGGTTTGTTTACAAAGATATGGGAGAGTACGAAAAAGCAAAAAATTTTATGAACAAGCGATTGAAAGTCAAACAAAAGCAATTGGACATGAACATGTTAATAATGCGATAACGTACAACAATCTAAGTTCGGTTTACGATAATATGGGATAGTAAGAAAAAGCAAAAAATTTTATTAACGAGCGACAGAAATTCAAACAAAAGCATTTGGACCTGACAATGTTACTTTTGCGATAACGTACAGCTATCTGGGTTTGGTTTACAAAGATATGGGAGAGTATGAAAAAGCAAAAGAATTTTATGAACGGGCGATTAAAATTGAAACAAAAACTTTTGGACCTTACCTTTTAAATATTGCCATAACGTACAAAAATGTGGGTTTTGTGTACAAAGATTTTGGAGAGTACAAGAAAGCAAATATTTTTATGAACAAGCGATAGAAATTCAAACAAAAGCATTTGGACATGACCATGTTAATTTTGCGATAACGTACAGTTATCTTGGTTTGGTTTACAAAGATATGGGAGAGTACGAAAAAGCGAAAATTTTTATGAACGAGCGATAGAAATTAAAACAAAAGCATTTGGACTTGACCATGTTAGTATTGCGACAACGTACAAAATGTGGGTTTTGTGTACAAAGTCTTTGGACCTTTGTTTATCGTGCAAATGCAAAAGAAGTAATGGTCCACCAAATATCAGACAGTTGGAAAATGATGAGGGTGTAAATATTTATCATTGTTATAAATTGAACATTGAAAATATGATGGACATGGATTAACTACTTTTTAAATATATTTTTGAGAATATTAATACGATGTCAATATGCATTAAATTTATAATTACTTTTAAACCTTCGATAAAAAGAAAAGTTATTTTCATCTTCAGACATTTCAATGTTGTTTATAAATGTTTAATCATTTTCGTACTTGATTGAAAATCCATATCTTCTTCGTCGTCAAATTCCAATAAACTAATATCGCTTGCGTTTTCTTCATTCAAAAATCATGTCACCGTCATCATCATCCTTAACAACATCATTATACCAAAACGTCTTGTATTTCTTCATCACTAGATATCTCGTCGTTAGCTTTGTCATCAACACAGATATGATTTACTCTACACCCTAGTGCAGTGTACTGTACCATTGTATAAAGCATTGAATCAGAAAGACTTATAATGTGCTTAACAGACGGACAAGCGAGTTAGACACCGGTGAGCAATAATATCCGTTATGTATTGTGTCTTCACCAGAGTTGACAGTTATTCTTTTGTCATAGACGATCTGATACTGCTTTACCTCTTTCTTGTTGACTAGCCAACTGGTCGGTTTTTCTCGTGTTATTTTACTAATATTTAGAACATCTATTTTATTTTTTAAAATTTCGACATCTGAACGTGCATAGTTAAGTATTAGTTATGGAATAGATTCAAAATTAAGAATTTGGCTATTTTAAAATTCAAAGTAAAACATTGTATCTTACAATGTTTTTCCCATTATTTACAACGTACGCATAATTTTTGGACCCCCGCATGCAAATGTTGTAACGTAACTATCTACCCCATGTTCTTGAGTGATTTTGTTTTTTAAATCTTCCAGGTAATCCCCTAAGAGTGGCCTTTAATCCCCGGTTTATATACATATATACAGCTATTGTATCCATGTTTAGAAGATTATGCTGCAACAGACCCATCACATTGTAAACTTCTAATCTAGCCCATGCAGTTGTGAAAATTCCTATGAAATATTTGTTGGTTTATTTTCTACTTCATACTCATGCTTTCTCTTAAAGACAATTTTGACTAAGTCATCATTCAAGATGCAAAGATTGTGCATTTCAATGTCGGCCCCGTTTAAACGTCTGTAGAAATGTAGCGGATCATTAATGAATTCTGTATTTAGTCAATTGTCTTTTTGACAAAATTTACCCTCAAGCTGTTAAGACATAGCTTAGCCAATGCTCTTAAGCCTTGATTGTAGTCTATTTTATCATGCTTTAACGGTATTCCTTCGTTTTCATATTAGTTGTATTTCCGTCTGTCCTCGGAGTTTGTAAATGATTTGGAAATCCTGAACTGTCTTGCTTTATACGGAGAAAATAATCTGAGCTTGTGTTTTCAAAGTGCCAAATTTCAAAAATTCTAATAAACTTATATCGTTTTTCAATAGCTTTCAACACTTCAACTTTGGTAAAAGTACCCCAAAAAGCACTCTCGTTTTCCGAGTGAGTACACACTAAAGAGGTTTGTACAGCACGCTGTTTACATAAAGGAAGAAGAGTTTATCCTTTATTCGGGCAGGTAGAATTGGAAAATACAAATATCTGGGTGCTAAACCTTTGCATTTTGTTAGTCCAAAATAAGTGGAAATTGTTTTAAAATTCTCGCGAATAATTGCTGGATAACCTATAGGATAAACTTTTGTTTTGTTAACGTAAGGATACAATGATGTAAATTCAACAAAATCAATTTTTCATCTTGTTAGGCATCCATAAAAAGCTTAAACCCTTTGACTCTGCCACCGAAAAACGCATCGTGTGGTTCAAGATTCGTTATAATGTCATTTGTGTCCAAAAAATGTTTCATTTCGTTCGCTTCCTTAAGTTTGCAATAGACATTTTCTCAAATCTTTTAGCCTCATAGCCCAATTGTAAAAGTCAACTTTGTCGTCTAATTGTTTCATCAAATACGTCAGCCATCTGTTTCTCATTAAAAAAGGATGATCATTTCTTAAATCGTAACAAGATGGGTATGCATGTTAGAGACAGCCATTAAAAGAAAACATAGTGTTTGTTTCTTCGCAGTGGTCGTTGCTAGTTTCTTTAAGAAAAATGTTTTATTCAATAATTTTTATTTAAGAATATCAATGTCTCATGCTTCAATTTATTCTTTTTTTCTGTGAACAATATTTTTCTCCGATCATTGCAAGTTTATTTGATAAGTTCTTGCCCATTTACTATGGGAGTCATGTCTTGTAAACTGTCAAAGAAGAATTTCATGACTTCTTCCTCATCAATTTCTGATACTGCATCATCAAAGAATATCGATAACCTTTCATCGTTTGGCATTATCAAATATTCATATTGTTTCAGTACCAGAGCACTTTAACAATTTATTTTGTATATTGCTTTGGCGTCCATCTAAAACATTGCTCTCATCTTCAAATTCGAAGGACAATTCCTTTACTTTTTTTGCTTGCTTAATGTAAACTTTTAAAGCCATTTTCGTTTTAGTCAGATAAAAATTACAAAATAACTTTAACTCAATAAAAATGCTTTAGGGAACAAGAAAACCGATCTAATATTGCTTTAAGAATAGGAAATAATTGACAATTTTAACTCAGCTTTATCGTGTTTCAATTAATCATATCATGCAGTAGCAACCTTTGTTCATTTTACGTTGTTTCCGGTTCACACGCACGAGCCCAGTTCACCTCCTAGGACTGAAAACTAATTGACAGAGGTAAGAGCTCCGTTTACTTCCGTGACCATACCTGAACCATAACTACTCACATCTTACTCTTCATGAAAATATAAACTTGTACTGATTGAAATCATTTCAATATGTAGTAAATTAATTTTTTTAACAAAGACAAAGATTTTACCAAAGACTAAATTTCAGTTAAAAGTGACCTAAAATCAGGTCTGGTAGCCAAAAAT